GCTCATCTATATCTGTTACTTGCTAGCCTACACTTATGCACAGTCCTAGTCCGTTCTTTACCCTCCCAACTTAGACCCTACCTTGGGCTCCAAGTGCCCACGCCACTCTCCACCCACCTCCCCTAATTCACAGTATGGATTTTCCGATATTTCAGCAACTCAACTTCGTGCAAGAAGTTGGGTCTTTGGTAGACAGTGCTAGACACCCTACCTGGGGGTCGACAAAGAATCAAGAATAAAGTATAAGTACTTCCCTGAGAATAGAACATGCCTTGGTTTTAATGGTCCCAGTTAAACCACCAGTACCTTGTCGGTTCGAAAATACTCGGCCTCCGACCTTTTAGGAGGCCGAAACGAAACGACGGCCGCCGATCAGATTGATCAACGTCGGGCTCGGGTACTGGCCAGGACTTGTCGAAACCGGATGCCAAAGGTACTGGAAAAAAAAAAAAAAAAAAAAAAAACTGGAAAAGACAATTCTAGGCTACCAGAGTGGCCCGGGTCCACTTGCCCGGCCGGGCCAAAAAGGAAAAAAAAATAAAAATAAAATAAAAAAATTATATTAAAATTTTTATTTTAAATTTGGTAACGAATTTCTATGTGACTCTGAGGCAAAAGTTGTTCAGTTTATTTTTCTGCATAACATAAGTTTTTTTTCGGATTTTTTTTTTTTTTTTTTTTTTTTGGGCCGGAACCTTCCCTGGTCCTTGCACGGCCGGGCCGCCCGGGAAAATAGGGTGACCCGGGCGGCCCGGCTGGTAGCCTTGAAAAGATTCAAAAAAATGTTTTTTTTTTTTTTTAATGAATATATAACCGGGAAACGGGCCCAGCGTCAGGGTTGCAACGAGATTCTTTACCAAATTAAAAAAAAGGTAAAATTTTAAAAGTTTTTTTTTTTTTTTTTTTTGGGCTGGCCAGGCGGCTTGTCCCGGGCCACTCTGGTAGCCTAGATTTTACATCGTTAAACCCCGTTAACCATGTGTGTTCACTTGGCTGACGCTTGAATTGGAAAAAAAAAAAACAAAAAAAAAAACAACCGGTATAATGCAGGGGAAGTTGGCCGTCATGGAAGAGTTCCAGCGATGCTTTGGCAGACGAAGCCGAAGCCGAGGAAGAAGTTCTATGGGAAATTGTCGCCCCAGATGAGGTTGCAGAGCAGACGGCTATGGAGCTCAGCAGCAGCAGCGATGGGAGTGAGGGCAGTGCTGATCTGGCTGTGGAGGCCAATTCCTCGGCGGACACGTCAGCAGACAGCTCAGGAGCAACTTCACCGGAAACTTCAGTGGAAGCTTCAGCTGAATCTTCGACGGAGACTTCGGTGGCGCCAGAATATGCATCCGAGCAGCCTAGCGACGGTCCCAGAGTGACAGCCAAGGTCTGTGTGCTGTGTGCCGCCTGTCCTATCCCGCTACTTTTTTTAATGTTTATTTTTATTTTTATTTTTAAAGGGCCTACCTCTCGACCTTCTCCTTGTACGACGGATTCGTCTGATTCCATCGGGATTCGTACTCTTGATCTGTTGAATAAGAGTTATATATGTGCACCATTCAGCCATATACGTGACGTCCTCCTGTGCTGCTGTTGCAGACAGTGGTGTCTAAAGGTGGGGGCGGGGGGGGAGAAGGGCTGCCTGCAGTGCCTGGAAGTTTTTTTTTGTTTTGGGAGGACCCCCAGCGCCGAGCTGAGGAAGTGTGTGTTCCTTTGGGGTGGCTTTTCTGGAGGGGGGGCGGGGGGGGGGGGGTACGCATGTCTATACATAGTGTATTTTTGGACCCCCGTGTCCTCCCTCTGTTAAGTGTTGACGCCAACCTGCAGCACAGGAGGGCTTCGAATCTGATGTGCCTGGTGTCCCACCTGGGCCTGAGGTCGGACCTGGTGCCGCCACCTGGGCCTGGCCGGGGCTGGGTGGCAGCCTCCTGCTTGTGGCCGGGTGATGGGACTGCTGAAGGGATTGGCATGTGCAAGGAATGTAGGGAAGGAACATTGTATTTGGCCATGATTTGGAGAGGGTGAAAGGGACAAAAAAAAAAAAAACATGAGGTGGAGGGGGAGGGTTTTAGGAATTTGAGAAATTTAGGAAAAAGGCTCAAGAGTCTAAACGCATCATAAATACGTTAAAGTCCAAAATTTCGCTAACTCAGAAAAGGAAAAAAAACAAGGAAAAAGAGATTGCCAATTAAGGCAGTTGTGGGGGGCTCCAAACGAAAAAGAACTGGGATGTTTTTGAGACGAAGAAAAAAAAAAGACTGGAAGGCCGAGGGAGACCGGGATGTTTCTGGGGGAAAAAAAAAAGAAAAAAACGGGAAAAAGGAAAAAAAGGATTGGAGCCAGGGAACCGGCAGACTCCAGCTCTGCTGGAGGTGCTCCCATGACCTTCAGCAGAGTAGGTTGTCTGCAATGCTGATGGGGGAGGAGGGGGGGGGAAGGGAACAGGACAAAAAAAAAAAGGGGAGAAGATTAAAGACGAATATAAAGTAGCAAGTTGTAATTTTTTTGAAGT